GTAATTTGCAAATAAAATTTTACACAATTTATAAAGTCTTAACTAAATTTGCATGTAAGTACAGAATATGAACACTGGAATGTTTATAAAATATCAAATACAATTTAAACTTTTCAGCCAAATAGTTAGGTAGTATTCAACGCTTTAAGCATAAATCTTTAATGATTCGATTCTTTATTTCAGTGACATAATTTAAGATTTAAAGGCAGGCGATCCAAATTGAATCTTCAAAAAATGTCCTACATAAATAGGTTTCCTAGAAATGGTGAAACAACAGTTAAGCCAATTTCACTTACCTAGTTATTTCACTTATCTAGTCCTTTAACTTAATATTAAAAATACTTTTTGCTTATTTTATATTATGTTACTGAACAAACTCTCCAATTTTATGCTCACCCAGGCGCGGATCTAGAACAGATTTACAGGGGGGGGGGGCATCTTAAATAAAATTTCAGCCTGATAAAAACAGTGTACATACTATGTAAGCTAATAGGTAAATATTATTATTTAAATCCTAGTTTATCAGTACAAAAAAATGAATAAAATAAAATATGAATAATTCTTAGGTTAAATTAATTTTACATGAAATATAAAACATTTTATAAAAAAAAATTTGAAATTTAAATACAAAAACATTTTATATAAATATATATAATATAAATTAGCTTTTGACGGCAACCGATAAAAATGGACACGGCCCAAATGCTATCGGCAAAACAATGCATTTTATGTGCTGCCGAAAATAGATATAATAGAAAATTCACCAGAGTCTACGGGTGGAAGGGGGGGCATGGCCCCTTGCCCCCCCTGGATTTGCGCTTGTGCTCACCATATACATAATAATATAAAAAAAAATGTAATAAATACCTATGATTATTAACTGGTGAGATAATTTATTTTATGAACATAAATGAATGTCTTTATCATAAATGTTTAATATTATTACATAATAATATAAAATAAAAGCACCTAGCAGTAAAAATGACATTTTGTGCTAAGAAATATTTTCTATAGGAATAATGAATCAACTATTTTTATTATTATACAGAAAGATATTATTCAGCCCACACTAAGCACCGACTTTTTAATTTCGATATAAAATAACGGGAAAAAAGTTTAAAAATATAATTTCAAAATTAAAATTTATTATTAAAATATGCATTGTAAATGTTGAATACCTATATAATAATGAAGAACGGAGTTAAATCCAGACTTAAGAGTAAATATTTTTAAATATTTGATGCTTGAACGAAGATATTATGTAAATATTTTTACGAAATACTTAAAAATACAATGCGTATAAATTAGAGGTAGAAGTTCTTCAAAAAATGTCTCAAATTTTAACAATATGTGCTAACAACTATACCACCACGATATAACTAATAACATATTTTTCTCAAAACACCAGCGCCCACGAAAATGTTTTCGCGGACCTTGGAAATAGCAGTACAATTTTCTTACACCAAAATAAGTCTAACTATTTTAACTTAAAAAATGGTGGGCTCTCGAATTTATTTTAAGTACGAGGTCTAGGCAATCGTCAGAGTTGTCTGCCTGCTAACAACGGCATTACACCATAGAAGACCTAGAAGAAAACATGACAAAAAATAAACAAATATGTTCGGATATCCATTGTTTAAAATGACAAGTAAAACTATGTGGATAACCATATAAAGAAGGCCCACAAACTATATCACTAGACATAACATTGTTATCAATACTTATTATATTTTTTTCCTTAAACATAATTTTTTTTAATAAATTGAAAATTATTGTGAGTTCAACAAATAATATCTGATCGAAGCAAGAATACAATTAAAAAATAATAATTTGGTTAATTTTACAAGTGTTACTAAACATAATTATTATTCCTTATTTTCTGGCCTTACTTTTAGGAGTAGTACAAACTTAAGAACAAAATATGGCTTACAAAAATACTTTTTTAAAAACATTTATGAATCATCATTAAATGTTTTTTTAACTGATCGTTCAAATGAAATGATTCATTACAATAAAGACATGTATAGTATTTATTTTTAGTACAAAACTTTTCAATATGTTCCGTAAAATTACTAATAACTGTATAAGTATATCCACAACCATTTGGGCATTCCAAGAACTTGGGAAAATTTTCTTTTAATTTCAACACCATCTGGGTTCCTGAAAAGCATACATACAATTTTAAAATGGTTATGAACTAAATTAAATATGTTATTGCTCTTATAGAACAAAACAACTATACAAGGTAGTAATATCGTTTAAAATTATAAAAGCAAACTTAAAAAATTAGGTGAAAAGCGGAAAAATAAACATGTTAAAAGCACAACATATACAAAATATTTTTTAAAATTAATTTGACAAAAATCTTAAAGAGATAAATAAGATCCTAACTACAAACAAGAGTATTTTATTATTAACCTTCAATGTTTAAAAGCTGACGAAGAATCAAGAAAATTCAAGGAAATCTACAATAAAACCAACATTATTTTGGAGAAGATTATATGGAAGTACAAGGAAATTATGTATAGTATCAATATAAATAAGTAGCTACAAATGTTTGTTCAAATAATACCTAGTTTAAACGAAAGTAATTAAATTAGCAATCACATCATAAATTCATTAGTTACAATTAATATATTAAACATTGTAAGATATAATTACAAAAATGTGTTTTGAGATGAGACCCTTCTAATGTTTTAATATTATCATTATATTTTATAGAAATCACATTACTATTATTAATGAAGAGGAGAAAGCTTCTTTATTGTTGTGGAGGAATTATGTTCAAATAATAAAAATTGAAAAATTGCAATTTCAATAATACCCAATTACTTTATATTTACATAATAAGTTTAAGGTAACTACATAAATATAAAATTAAACTAATGTACATACACTAAGGGTGGTTCTTACAATGTCTGGTTAAATGTCTGATAAAAAGACGGTTACTTAACCGAAATATTACCCTGTTCGTCCTGGTTACCGCTATCTGTTCTTACAACCTCCGGATAACCGAAATGTTCAATGTCAAGTGTAATACTCCTAGTAAAATAATTTCTATACCTCCTCAGTTCTCATTAAATTTATTAAAAATATTTTTAACTTAATGTATTTATTAAACATTATCTAACGAATAAAATTTGAATCAAGAAAACCTGATAATTTAACTTTGATGTGTATAATTAATAAAAAAAACCGATTTCAACTTTGCGTCAAGTGTATAGCAAGATGGTTTATGGGTATTTTCCGTAAATTAATATTATTACCCTAGAATTATCGGAGAATAAAATAATATATAGAAAAAAAATTATACTCATTCATTTATACATTATCATTAGTAACAGTATATTAAAAATGAAGTAATTTATTATTATAAACACGTATGTATTCTAAACATATTTTATAAAGGTAACTCTAAATGTATGCATTCATGATAATTAATACATTCAATGTTTTGGCAATATATTTCCAAATCATATTCGTTGGTAAATAATACTTAAATATAAAATATCGATTGTATCATAATAAACATAAAATATTAAACTATTTTATCAAAAATAATACTTATAATTAAAGTAAATTTCATTATTTTAATTTTATGATAATTCAATGTTCTAAAACATTCTTTGCATATATTTTTAGTATTATAAATACAATAAGACAAACATAATATTTAGTGCACGCTTTCATCTGAAAATAAATAGATGTTAAAAATATTTATATTATTGCATTAGTTCATAAAGCAGTCATAAGTATAATACTTATGATATTAAACTTACTATCATAAGTAAATATGGGTATGCAATTTTTCCATGGAGACATGTTTAAATAAAATACAATTCTTCTATAATTTACTTTTTGAATTTTAATAATATATATAATGACACGGTTTAATAATTTAAAAATAAATAAAAATGCAAAAGTTTGTTTAATAATGAGATATAGTAATTAAGATTATACTTTATTTATAATGTATACATTTGATAGTTACAAAATAATAATTATTACAGTTATTATCATAATAGATAATTTTGTTGTGGGTACAATTTTGTTTAAACTAAATTTAGTATTAAGACGAATTACTTTCAATATTTTTTGGTTTATTATATACAGGAAATCCATGAATATAAATCATATGTGACTTAAGTGACTGCTGTTGTGTAAATCTCTTATGACAAACTATACATGGAAATTGTGGTTCTTTGCCGCATTCATATTTAACGTGTCTGAATAGTCCACTCTTATATTTGTATCCCCGACCACAGCCAGGTTTTTCACACACATAAGGTCGCCATTCACTTGGTGCACATAACGATAAAGATAAGTCTAAAAAATAATTAATAACAATTAGAAATAAAATATTAAACTTCTAATATTAGTAAACAATGCAATAATAAACTACTGTAGGCATAAACACAATGTATCTAAAAAAAAATACAAATAGTTTATAAGGAGAAATTGTGTATAAACCACTAAGGAAAAGTAGATTTCATACATCTTGTTAAATTTAAAGTCTAAAGTATAATATTCATCATAATTTAAAAATAAATATTAACAATTCGCTCACCCGTATCGTCATTTTAACAGTTTGATGAATCATTTTATCACCTGAGTAATGGAGACAGATATAATAAATATAGGTTTTGAACATACTATTAACGTAAGCAATAAGTTACTAATTACAACTATAAGTACTTTTTTGGTCTACAAAAGCATTTCTAGATGACCGTTTAACATTCTTAAGTAGGTATAACAATCTATATAATAACAATTGAAATCCCGTAGAACAATGATGATCTAAAAAGTAATATAATTACACAATTAGTATTTAATTCAAAATGTACAAATATGTATTACAATTTTAGAACTAACAAAATCATAAATAATTTAATTTGTGAATAAACATCATATGTCTACGAAGATGCTCTTTACGTTTGAAAGGTCTATTGCACACATTGCAAGGAAACTTCCATTCGACTCCACATTCATACTTAACGTGTCTTGCTAATCCTCTACTATACATGTACAGCCGATTGCAATTCCGACATTGGTAAGAACGCCCTGTAAATTAAAGTTTTATTAGAATGATAAAGGCCAATAGAATATCTCTTGTACAAAGCGAGACATAAATAAAAATAAATGAGTTTGTATTATAACAGCTAAATCTATTTGTGAGAAATAATTGCATATAAATCAAACAAAAAATCATAAAATAAATTAAGCAAAAATAAAAAATTAAACAATCAAATGATAATTTTTTTTTTTTGTTTTTACACTTTTTATACAAGTTTTCTGTTTAATAATTTTGACGTGTACCGCTATATAAATCATATATTATAAATATATGCATAAGCGTACGCAGACATTATTAGTAGGGTAGTCATATATAACACATACAAATTTAATATTAACAATAAATTTGGATGGGGTAACTTCATTTCACTTAAAAATTATATTTTTCCAATATTTTTAAATACGTATTTACCGTTTACGGATACTTCGAAGTGGTTGAACATAATATGGTTATTTATTGTTGTGATAATATTGATTATTTTGGTGAGAAAGGGAAAATGCATAGAGTAGTTATTTGCCTATCCCGACTACCCCGTGAGCAAGCTCATGCATAAATGTGTGTATAATATAGTATTTTTATAATAAACATTACGATTTTGGACATTGATATTAAGTTAGTATCTGATGTTTAAATTGTAAATCAAAGTACTGTGTTTTTAATTAACATAATATGATACTAGTTATAGTTTATATAAATTAATATTAGGTAAATTGTGGTGTTATAACTATATTATACTTATATAACTAAATATATTTTACTTATTAAAGAAAAACTGGTATTCATTTATAATAAAACACATAAGCTACTAGAAATATAAACATACTTTAAAAATTGATCGATCTTATACAGATATGTTTCGGTAATTAGTTTAATGGATTTTTTTTATTATATATTTATAATTATCCATAATTATTACAGAGGATAGAAGCCAAATTAATTATTCGCTTAGTTTTTAATTTCATTGTTATTAATTTAACTTTTTATAGTTTAATTATCATCTAATTTTGGTGCAAAATAAATGTGGTGAATAAGAATAAATATTTTTTGTAGATATTTATTAATTTATGTTAGTAAGCAAATATATATTCGACATAATGTGCCATATTTTTTGATGTTATAAATAATCAGACTAGGTAGGTAATACATATTGTTTTTTTTTTGTTTTACAAGAGAAAGCATGTTCATCGACAATTCATGTATATTTACATTAAATCGTTTTTTTCTTAAATAAAATTAGTTTCAAAAGAAGAAAAAATAGAATTTAACTTTTTTTTTCTTTTTTTAATTAGGACGTGAATAAAAAGAATAAAATAAAAAAATAAAAGAATGACTGGAGCTTCGATCTTAAGACAGTTCCTTGTATAGATTTTTATTAATTTCACTAGTTTTACAACAGATCACTATAGTACTCCTTTAACCAATTTTATTATGTACGAGTCGTAAAACCCGATATTCTCCTGAATGAACATTGCTGACACGTCCCATGCCAGAGTGAGAGAAAAACCGAACACCGCACCCTAAATTCGAGAGGTAGCTACGTGCAATTGTTCAGCCGGAACAGGGCTAATCGGCGACCAAGGAAAGCCTGACGAACGCCAACCAGATATTCTAACCTGTAACTGTAGAAGGCGGACGCGTGCCAACCCAAACCAAGACGAAAGGCCACCATTTGGGATTTCGTGTACTTAAACGGTGGATAGTAATCTAGGGTCACTTCGGAACGGTAGCGGCGACAATCAGTCTTGTGGTTGAGTGCATGCCGACATTCTAAAACCGAACGCATAACCCATGGTACGGGATCCTGGAAATGTCTCACTTTCCTAAACTGAACGGTGCTTTGAGGCTGGGCGCGATGCGGATCTCTGATCGACCGCCGCATCCATAAGGTTGGACTCGTGGTGACGTCGGGATCACTGGAGAAAAGTAGGTATCGATAATCAGGTGACTGAACCTACGCTTGGCCATCGTATTACAATTACGGGCAAATTAATCGATTATTTGTGCGGTGCCATTATAATTCCTTGTTTACATGTGACGATCACTCGATCGAGAAAGTGAAATCGGCCGAATACCGTCCCATGTGACTTCAAGAAACCAATTAAATTTTTATTAAACGAGAAAAAAAGAAATCATTTCTATTCACTCGGTTGAGTGACTATCCCCATTTTTATATCTAGAAGGTTAGAGGCTTGCCATCCCCCCCCCCCGGCTGACATATATTTGATGTATTATATTAGTTATATATCAGTATATAATATTAGTTAAAAGTTTAAAAGATTTAAAAAATTATTTTAAAAGAATGTACAATGGCTGTACAATGTCCATGTTTCAATCATGCGTTAAATATTTCTCTTTCTTATTTATCTAAAGTAGCTTCTGCCCGCAAAACTATCAGCATATTGAAAGAAGTTATTGCATTTTTTAATGGTTCCACAAAACGGCAATTTGTTTTAAAAATACTTTGAATCACAAATTAAAAGGATTATGCCAAATACGGTGAATTGAGATGCATTATGATGTGCTACAATTTAAATTATCAATTTTAAAAGTATTAATTTTAATTCGATACATTTAAAATTTAAATTTTGTTTATTTTAGCTGGTTGTTTTTTTCAAAAGGACCCCCCTCCTCAAATGAAACACTGGATCCACCCCTTAGTACCTCACTACCAAGGTATAATTCACTCGACAAGTCTAAACTGACATCGAGTGTCATGTGAATTAGTTGTAAGTTCAGACAACTTAATCTGTGATTACTCGGCTCAGCGAATAAATAGCGTGCTGATAATGCGATAAATACTATCATGAACTCTTCCATTATAAACATTTTAGTTCTAATGTATATATAAAACAATATAAAGTATATAACAAATAATTATGTAAAATATATTATTAATTTTATATATTCCTCATATTATATGTTAAATAGAACCAACACGATAATTTAAAATATGAAGGTTAGGTTAATTAATAAAAATAAATAATTATATTTAAAATGTAACTGACAAGTATATAGACAAATAAATTATAATTTAATAGTAGATTGGTGAATTAAAATTAGATGCCTCTGATAACTTCCTTTGTGCTTGAATTTTTTGTTACATATATAACAACAAAACATAGGGGGTTTTCCACATTCTACGCGTACATGAAATTTGGCACCCGTTTTGGTTTTGTACTTACGCCCACAATTTAAACATCTGAAAATCTCTGAAATGTAAAAAATAAAAAATGTTACGATTCAAATTACAACAATCAAAATATTTAAAAATGTATCGGAAGTAGTATTTAAGCACAAGAAAAAACATCAATAGTTCTAAATAGAGCTCAAACTATAGTTATTGTAATTATTTAGTTATAATAATTAGTAAGATAAAATAAAGATAACAATGTAGTGATCGCAGTACAAAACACTGCGTAATCACAAATATTTTAAACGACATAGTACGTTTAACTCGAACTAGAGGTGTTGTCAATAAGATAAGTAGTTAATAAACAAAACACTTGTATTTGAAAAAAGTATAAGTTACAATAATTGATTAAATATCTTCTTCTTCTTCTTCTACTACTGGTGGGTAATATATAAATATAAATCGAGACATTTATAAAAACAAGAGCCCAATTCAAACTTTAATTATTTAATTTTTATTTTTTATTTTTTATTTATTTTTTTTTTTTTGTCGAAGACAGTTCCAATTTCATTCATTAGGCCTTTTTTCTCCTACAATAAAATTATGTTTATAAACTATAGTATATTCCTGTATGTATATAGAACCATTATTTTACCAACATAAAAAATTAAAGTTTATGATAAGAAAAAACACATTTGTCAAAAATGAGTTATTGGCCCCTTGTTCTTGAGTCTCTCAATTCGATTCAAACATTTATTCATGATGCACTTATCACAATAACAAATGTTAATAATTAATAAATTGTATTAATATAAAATATTTGTACATACATAAATCATTGTAAAATAAAACTGATATGTATGTCTATGTATAATCTATCGTATTTACATGACATAACTAACATGTATAGTTTTTTTTATTCAACATTTTATTAATATGATTGTCGACTAGGACCATAAAAACGAATAAATACATTTATTCAGCGAATTTCGCCGATCGTATTACCGTTAGTTTTAGCTGGGAGAGAAAGTAGGAAAGATTAAAAAAAAATACGAGATTGAGATATATGTATATATTAGTAACCTGGTATGATTAATAACAATATGAATTAAATAACAAAAAAAATTATTTGACATATATTGACATACGTAGGAAAATATAAAAAACGAAGTATCTTAATCTAGGGTTAGTAGTGATGGCTTAATTGATGATTAATCTTTATACCATTATTATATAGTTAAAATAAGCAAATACAAGTAAAATAATAAGAAAGAAAACAAACGTGATTTGACCCTCCTGGAACGAATGACAACCGCTGCAACCGGTCGAAGTGGGATACGGCGCCATCGATGGTGAGTACTGAGGACTCGAACACACTCGAAGGACACACGCGGGCACGTGGTCGATGATCTCACGCGCGTGAAACGAGACCAACATGACGGAAAACCCAAACAAGATGGGTTGGCGTGACGGTGGCGCAAACGGCATAGTTAACACTCACGCACAACGAAAGAACGAAAGGAGTTTCACACGCGTTGATGGCACGTGATGTCGGCTGGATACGTTTGGGCTATGTTGTGAGTGTGTCGTAACGAACGCCTGTGGCACATACCTCGACAGCTACCAGAAACGGACCGAGAACAGAGAGACGTGATGACGATGGTGATAGTCGATTTCCCGGGAAACCCGTTTGCCAACGGGGCGGCGCGCTGTCCGGTCTGAAATTATCAGTATAATGTCTGGTTTTTACTAAAAGGCCTTATTTGAACGGCTCGATCTGTTCCCAACAACGATAATTAATAATCATTAAGCATATGTTTGAAAACCATATGAGTTTTCCAATTGGATTTGTAATTGAACTTTTTCAAACAAATAGTACAGCTATATGCCGGTGGACTGTCAGAACAGGACATTAAATGTTGTTTTAAATGTCCATTTCGTTTAAAATACTTAAAGCATCTATCACATTTAAACCTAGGAGGGACACCACACTCATACATATGTCTATGGAGTTGTTTTGAATTCTTGTAACTTCGCCCACAATTTTTAGGACATATCCATCTGCTGTTCTCTGTTACATAATCTAAAAACATATCAATATAAAAATGTATTTATAAGTATATTATTATAATACAAATGAATATGACTTTTATATTTAAGCTAAATATTTCAGTTTAAACTTTAAACCATGCAATAAGATAAATTAAAATGAATCTCAATAATTTGCAAATGTTTTAAATTTAAATAAAACACAGTGTAATAATATTTTTAAACCCCATTCAAAAAAGAGTATACTTAAATGCTTTAGAAAAAATTATAATAACCTATTAATAGGAATGGATATGAGTTCAATAAATACAATAATTAATTAAGTGATTAATAACTTAAATTAAAAATAATTGCACTTTTAATTCTTAAATTTTTTATGCCATTATGCAAAAAATAAAATAAAATTAAAATTAAAAAATATAAAATGATTAATAATCATACATAAATAAATAAATAAATAAAAGCTTAGTCTGAAATATTATTATAATTGTAAAGTACGACCAGTTTTAAATTAAAAATCTATCATCAAGTATATAAAATGCCAATAAATTATCAACTGAATGTAAAAAATAAAGGAAGGAATATAAGGAATAATTTAAGAAAAATTAGTCGTTTTACAAAAATAAATATCTCTATAATAATATAATATCTCTATGGTTTTAATTTTTTAATATTCATTCGTAATTTTATTAATTTTGTATATAAGTACCCGACGATGAATTTTTTATTATAAACCGATAGTACTTTACAAATATAATTATGCTCCAGGCTAAGCTTTTATTTATTAATTAATTTTTTTCTATACATAAGTTATTAGTTTATTGATTTATATGAAGTACTCGAATTGGAGGGGAGTGTGCAGGGGGACGAAACTCCTCTGCTATTTTTTTTTGCCTACCCCAACTTTTTTTTTGAAGGAACGGGGAAACGCTACGTTCACTTTGCCAAACTAATGTCCAAAATAATTTTTATTAAAATTTGTATTTCAATTTACGTCAATTTTGTAACGAATATTACAATTTATTATATCATAACTAATTTTGATATTGATTTCTTAACACGTTAAACTATGCTAGAACTATACATTTTCAGTGCCCAGCTTATAAAAGCTGAAATTACGGTCGGTCGACTAGTGACTACGCAGCACGGTTATAGATAGAACGATGCAGACACCATGATAGACTATGCAGACACGCAGTACGCGTTGACTTGATGACCTGCGCTTAGCAATATACAAAATATATAATTAGTTAATAATTAATTCGAATGTGTGGTAAGAATAATTCTATTTACGCTTAGTACCTATAGAGGTACATGAGAAAATATATTTTCATAAAGATTAGACGGTGATTATGATAAGCGACAGCGTCATCATCTCGGGAAAAATACAAATAGTAATGTTTGCCTGGTACAGATATAATTTAGTGTATACCTACTTTATTCATTGTATGGATTATTATTAATACTATCGATATTAATATTTTAAATTTAAATATTTGTACAGCTGAAACGTCCTAAATAATAAAAAGTGCTAATTAAAATGTATGTAATGTTGGTAAAAGGGGTGTGGGGGGCAAGGACTCCACGGTTCTGTGTTAAATAATTGCGCACGTGGTACGCAGTTTTTAAATCGTTGGACTCTTTTACTTAATTTTTCCCAATTCGAGCACTGTTTATATGCAAAAAATAAGTTTTTGTTTAGAATAACTTAGTCAATAATATTATATTTTTGAATTAAATAATTATTACCAAGTGACCATAATTGACAAAGATGATAAATATTTATTATGTTATAGAGTTCACCCTAATTTAAGTTACCTGCTTGGTTATTCCCCCATTAATTGCCAATCATAACGATTAAAACAATATTTATATATGCTTGGAATTGAAATATTTGAAGCAAACACTTTATACAACATAAAATAAATATTTGATTGTTCATGTTGAACCTGAAACACGTAATGAGAATTTATTAACATTCAAAAAAAAATTAAAAACTAATGAAAATTCAAAAATGTATAAATGTCTAATACCGAATTGGATGTTTTTAAATATTTATTAAATATTGAATAAATATTGAATAAATATATCTATGCTGTGTGGGTTATTGCTAATTAATAATCAAAACATCCTATTTAGTGACGTATTTTCATGAGGGATTTTCGGATTTCGATCCTCTCCCCTCCCCCAGAAGAAAAACACCTCAAAAACCATAAATGATTTACTACAAACATATAGAGAAAGAGAACATTATTTAAATCATGTAATTATAAATAACTCTTCATTTGTATTTATATTAATAATATAATTATTAATTCATACCTTATAATGGTAATACTTATATGTATTTTTAAGAAAAATTTTATTCCCCTATACAAAAAATTGAAAATACGCCACTGATTATACGCATATTTTAAGTATACTATTAAAGAAACTTTTATTAGGTAGAAAACACACTGCATGCTATATAGAATGTATTTAATAATACAGAAATAGGACCAACAAATATGGATTATAAGCAATAAAAAGATTTATAATAAATAAAATCATTTTCAGGAAAGTTAATAAGTAGGTGGTATCTTTTTGGTACATTAATTATGAAGAACTATGTAAAGTCTAATTTGAGAGAATAAGTAATAAATAAATACAAAA